CTGATAAGGAGTTTCAAATGACTAAGGCTCTTCGCTCACTATTGAATAAAGTTAATATCAAATTTTTACTTATAATTAATAAAATTAAAATATTTTTATTAAAAATAATATTTTTCATTATTAAAAATAATAATTATTTAATTGAATAAAAAGGGTAAGTAACCCGATTTTATTATATATTAAAATAAAGATAACCTATGCGATCTTACATCGGAATAATTTTAGAGAAAACAGAAGATGTCTGATTTATTTACACGGCAGTTCATTTCAATTCTTTCTTAATTCAATGCTCTTTCTCCGCTTCTACGCCATACGCCTGGTACGTGTCCGTGCCACCCGTCAGCTCGAGTATTTTTCAAAATTGTCCGTGTAGAACAAATAGCTCCAGTAGATCAGTGACAGAATGCCGAACGAAAGCGGGAAGAGCAATCGAGAGGTACGGTCAAGGCTTTTCGCCATTGTGCGATAATACTGAATTTTAAATCGAGTTTTGGATAGTTTATGGATTGAACTTACATTTGAAGCTTGTACGTCTTCCTTAAGGGTGTCCTCTAGAATCTCTTTGACAGGCCGCGCAGGAACAGTCCTATGTCTCTTTGGAGCATGCTTATTGAAAGTTTAATCACCCTTTTTTGTCCAAATAACTCACCAGTTTCCTGACTACTTGATTGATCCCATTTGTCTGGTAGCCCTGCTTCTCTGAGTCTGGATACGGATTCATCATAATCATCATTCGCGTTTGGGTTTGGGCACGAGGACCTCGTCCATTTTCATTTTCAACTCTTTCGATGGAAGATTGCTTGATGCTGGTTTTGAAGAGTGGGAGTGGCAAGATATCATTCGTCGAATGAGGCGGTCAATATGTTTTAGCTAGAATAAATTGATTTTCGGACGAATGATTTTTAGGGTTAGGGTTAACCCTTAAGCGACCTCATGACAAAAATTTTAAGAGTTAGGGTTAGGTAAAGGGCAATCTCAAAAGCTAAAATGATATTTTACTGATAGCTTTATACAGTAAAACATTCAACTTAAGGCTCTCCCTCCCTTAATTCTAATAAGTTGTGTTTATCCGACGCTTTATTTTTTACATAGGCTTCATTTTATCCAATTAAATATTTGATTAAAGTGAAGCTTTTGGACAATAAGGGAATTTTCGTTCAAACAAGTTCAATGATGTGCATCCTAGCATATTGAAATGCATGAGTATTTTTACATTGAACATGATGTCTAATTGTATCATCGCTCCGGTTCAGCTAGGTACGTCAAATGCGATAATTGGCATCCTTTATCTCACCTTGAGCTTCCTGCCATATAGTATCCCCTCGGATTGTCTGGATAAGTAATTGGCGCACGCAAATTCTAGCAGAGCCGCGAAAACGTATGTGAGACAGAGCATTAGCCAGATGTCGATCGCTTTGACGTATGAGACCTTTGGCAGTGAACTTGCAGCTTTGACACGGTTCTAGAGCGCTTTTTCGTCCAATATCATCATCAAAAAGAGCTCTAGAACCGCTCCTGAACTGCTCATTGACGAAATAGTCCAAACCGTGGTTATGCCTTAATTAATTATATCAATTTAGTGTTCAAATTTAGTATTTAACTATTCTATTTCGACTAAAAAGTGCCACCTTAGCAGCAAAAAGGTAGACTCTTAGCAGAATAAATTAATGTTAATCCAAAGATAGTAATTAGCTATTTCGCGGTGGTTTCCTTGAGTATTCTGAATAAGTAATTCGCAGGTACTAAATTGTGCCTGTATAAACAATGCATTATTGAACTCACCAAGTGTTGTGCGAGCTGGAGTCGAGTCGATGTTCACCCAAAATCCGAGCCAGCTTTTTGCGGAATCAAGATTATGGATTTGAGAAGGGATTTTGGGGGACTTGCTCGTTTCTGATTGGCTGAGAGAATAAATATTGACTTCTGATTGGATGAGAGGACCCTATAACCCGAATGGCCAAGCGACTTCGAGATTTCAATTAAGAGTGTCAACAACGATCAGATCGAAATTGGTCAAATCATTGTTGACACCCTTAAGGGGGTCGACGAGAATCGGGATTTCCGTGACCAAAAATGCGGGAAAACCGGATTAGATAGGGAAAATCTGATGTTATTGATGGATAGAAAAGGGTTGAAAAAATCAGGCGGCGAAAACTAGAAAAATTTTCGCCAGAAAAATTGGTCAAAAATCCCCTCAAAGTAGGGGCATTTTCGCGAAAATGCACCAAAAATGGCGATTTTTTCACATTTTCTTAATTTCAACCCCTAAATCTCATTTTTATCAAATGTTTTTAGGCTCAACAGATTCGGGAGGATCTGACAATTCCAAAATATAAGTTTCATACCCAGACTATGTGTACAAGCGAAATTACGATCACCCCTGAAAAAATTCTCGTCGACCCCCCCCTTAACGTTTTGAAACCTCGAAGTTGTTTGGTCATTTTGGTTATCGGGTCCTCTTGTTATGCGCTGCCTTGCAATGGTGTATCAATCTTGCAATAAAAACTAACGCATATTTTGGTATAACGTATTTTGTGTTTTATTTCATGTCTTGCACATGGTATGAAATGAGAACGTTACTGATCTGAAGGAAGGTGTCTTCCTTATATACTGATCGCTGAGCCCCCAGGCTATCCTACGCTGCATCCCGAGCCATCCAGGTTCTTATTGGTTGATCAATTATGCACGAGGCATATCGTCAGGATGGAACGAGATGCTCAGGCTAACCTGGGCACTCAGCTGCATAAACATAAGTTATATCATAACACTTTACCCTCCTTAGGGAATCTGGAAGAGAGAGACAGGAAAAGAAGTACAGTAAATTTTTAACTGGTTAAGCCTCATTGGATTTGGTGCTCGATGCCGACCACTTTCGTCTGTTACGTTGGATTTTTCGCATTCGTTGTCTGGTCCCTTTTCTAGCCGGAGTTGGCTCCATTTTTGGCAAGCCGGGTTTGACCACGCGTTTGGCGAGGATGATAGTAGAAGCGACCGCTTTAACGCGGATTTCGATCGCTTGGAGTTTGTCTTGGAGTTCGTTTCTTGGCAATGCTATTGGTCGAAATGGGATCTGACGTCGACCATACTTGGTTTGGAAAGCATCCGTGAGGTATGCGATCAGTCGGTCTCTGGTTTCATGGAAGGTCATATGGGCGACGATGATGGTTTTTGCGATCCAAGTAGAACGCATTGCTCGGTTTCTTGTCTTGGGATTTGATTCAGAAAGGCGTCCAGGAAAGCGTCAGAGTTTAAGTTCGGGATGGACCGGTAGGTGATGGCGGAAGCGGTGACTTTATCGATAAAATCGTACATGGCTTGGACGGGCTGCTCATCACGAAGGGTCATGGTTCCAATGGGTATTTCGATTCCGACCATTCTTGGGAGGAGCAGCGTTTTTACAATTCGTCGGTTTGACGCGGCTTGGATCGTTTGGATTTCTTTAAGGATTGACATACTAAAAATCGGATGTTGGATGAAAGTGGCCTATTTTAAAGGAGTGAGCGCTATTCATAAGGCATAAAGATTTTGTTTGAAGTTCGAAATAATGGGTACAGACATAAATGGGTGGCAGCTACTATATTCTGGGTGTTTAAGTTGTTGTTTGTCAGGATCGAGCGGGATTAACTACGTAATTGGTTAGTGTTGGTTTTGTAGCGCCATCGCGTTTATATAGTAATCACCTTTTCCTTCTATTCCCTTTCTCTTCTTCCTCCGAGTGTTCGAGGAGTTCTGCGATGTAGATTTGAAGCCGCCGGGTTCCCGCGTTCACAAGTCTTGCTATTTCCTTGACTGACTTTGGTCGGTTTATTCGGTCGATATATACGTAGGTGCTGGCGGCGGCGAGCGTTTTTGCTGAGGTTGTGGCTGATGGGGTTTCTTTGCTTATCAGGATGGCATGCGCTTCGATTTCTTTCGCTTGGTGATTAGTTAATCGAAGCGCAGCTGCTATTCTTTGGATGTAAGGTTTGATTCTGTTTTTAATGTGTGCGTCGATTTTTGCTGTTCTGAGGAAGGTATCGAATTTGCGAATCATTCTCTGGGTGATTAGGGAGAGGTGCCAGTTGCCTGGCAGATTTCTTCCAAGCTCAGGTCGCAGTTCTCTTGCTTACTGGCCAGGTAGAGGCACGCCGCTATTGCCACGGGTTCTGCGCGATTTTGGCGGTGGAAGTACCAAGTTGTTCCCTGTTTTTCTTTGAGGTATAGCTTTTTGATGAGTTCGTAAGCTCGTAGTTTTGTATTAGTGAGTCCTGAGTATATCAATCGGGCTCCTGCTTCTTCGATGAGGTCTTCACATTCCCGAAGGACAGTTTGTAACCTATTTTTCTCGCGGTTGGATAGTTGGGCCTCGTTTGATATGATGCATTCGTCCCCTGTTTCTTCGTTATTCCGGGTGAAAGTTTTTGGCAAGTTTTCGTTTGGTTTGATGGCCGTCACTCGCATTGATTTTTCTGGGTTGAGTGGTGGGCATCTTTCTCCTACGACAAGTCCGCATATTTTGCAGATAAGGTCTCCTGTCACAAGCCTTTCGTCGGCTATGTGCTTTGGGCCATGATATGAGCAGGTAAAGGCGGGAAGAGAGCAGCCTGGAGCAGACATTCTAAAGCGTGTTTCGTTACAATTTGGTAGTCGAATTTTACGTCCGCCTGATTTTCCATTGTCTTGACAGAATTCTATGAATTATTTTAATCAGGTAAAACAGTCCGCCTGTTGCTAGCGTTAGAGTGCCCGCTAGGGTTGCACCGATCATGGTACAGGAGATAAACGTTTTTTCCGTGAATTTGTCGACAGTACAGACGGACTCGGATTGGGCACATGCGTGCTGTGCTTTCCAGAAGAAGTAACGCGGGTCAGCAGGATCATATCCAGTTTCCGCGAAATTCCTCGTCTCTTTTTCTGATAGTATCGCGTATTTATCAATTTTGCAGATAAATGAAGCTGGGGTCTTCAACAGTTGTCCTGCCTTAAGGAGGGTCGTCCAAGGTGTTTCGTGGTTGTATTGGTGTTTGAGGAGCACAAAATTCATAATTAGAAAAATAAGGTCAATGACGCACAGACTGGTTAGGAACAAGATTCGTTTCCAGTTCGTTGATGGTGTCGTGATGACCAGGCGATTACCTTTGTATTTTTCTTTGAAGCCTTGCATATGCCCATATTTTGAGCGGAGTTCATTAAGCCTCTTCAGTTGAAATGTCCAGCTTGGCCGGTCCTGGCGATTTGGCCAGACGATTAATTCTGTCGGTTTTGGGTTTATGTCGTGTTCGAGTAATCGCATAAGCTGTACGTCTTCTGCGGGTTTCAGGATAAGATGTCCGAGCCCCAGAGTGACGATCCCAATAATGACGAGGTGCCAAGTCCAAAATCTAGTCAGGTTGACTGGTAAAAATTGGTTATAGCAAACTGAGCTACACAGTTGCTGTTTGGTGCTACATCTGAATCCGCCTGAATCGTTTGAATAAATTTCCGTACCAACTGTTAATAGGACAATACTTCTTACCAGCAAAGTTGCGTACCAGACTTTACCGAGGGGACCGAGGTGTGGGAGCAAATCATTGAGCCCAGAAAGCAGCCCACTTGCCTTTTCTCCGATAATTTTATGTTTATCCATTCTGACTCTGAACAGTTTAAGATTGGAGGGGCTTTAGTTCGAGAGTTTATGGAGTTCGGGTAGGTGCAGATGGGATCAAGATTTCTTCTTCGGGGGCCTCCCGATTCTGGGTTTTACTTATCCCTAGTTTTCGTTTGATCTTGTCGCGGAGAGGAACTCTCCGGGTCACCTGCTCCCTTCCCTCAATCGTCGGGTCAGCTGGTGTTGCTAGGCAAAGGCACGAGAGCCATTTATGCCAGAATTGCGGAGCGAGATGCATAGTCTTTTTCAATCTGAATGTTCGGTATTGGACTCTCAGTTCCGATTTACTTGCGGTTAATGCGGGCTTAATTATAATTAAAGCTAAGGGATTCTAGCGATTAATAGCGCGTCTTGGTCTTGTTTGTATGCCACCGTAGGGTACGTGCAGGTTCCCTAGTTTAGCTGCAAGCGCTCTGAAGGTTAAATCTTGGGTTCCGTCGCTGCTCTTATATTTGACAAGGGTATGGAACTCGGCAGGGCCACAGTTCTGTAGGAGAATAGGGTAAATTATTCTGAGGGCCGCGGCGTCTGATAGTGGTTCTTCGCCAGGTGACTTTTGCAGATCTGCGCAGAGTCGTCCGAAGAAAATGATCAGGGCTTCGCCTTCTTTGCGTTTTCCGTTTACTTCATTCCCCTTATTATGGTTTTGATGTTTCGCTGAAATACATTTCTTCATTCTCTCGATGCAAAGCTCGAGTTTGGTTTTTTCATTCCTATTTAGGCCTTTCTCGAGGTGTGCAAACTCTGGTCTGAGAGTCATAAACAAAAGACGAGTGAGATCAACATCTAGAAGCCCACATTTTCTTGCGCTGTTGAACCCTTGTCTGTTTCTTGCCACATGTTGTGCGAAGCTGATTTTTTCGTTTGGTCCCCATACATAGAGCCGGAATTTTTCCTTGGCGTCGAGGTATGGCAAGTCTCGATCGTATACCAGGTTCGTGGTAAGAATCTTCCTCATCCGATCTACGCATAGATCAAAATTTGTTTTCTCAATTTCGTCGAGGAGAGTCTCGTAACTCCTTTGTTCTGGTGTCAGTGTTATGAGAAAGAGACTTGTCAATTGTTCGTCGGAGAGCCCTGCTTTCCGTGCGTCCCGGAATCCTTGTTGGTTCCTCGAGACATGGTTCTCGAAAAAAATGTTTTCGGTAGGAAGCCATACGTAGAGCTGAAATGTGTTTGTGGAGAGCATTCTAAACATCATAGTGCTATCCTTTGGTATATTTTAATTTAGGTGGTTTCTGAATCTGTTGCAACTTCAATCTTATAGGGGGGTGTTGCAGTACTTGCAGTAAGGTCTGTTTGCTAGCCATTTTCGCAGGCACGCATTATGGTAGTAGGCGTAACAGCATGTCATGACCGATATGTCTTCAGGCAGGTCTTCCTGGCAGAGCCCGCAATCACTTTCGTACTTTTCTACTGCGCTTATCTTGATTTTCTTTGTCAGCATGAGCCTTTCCTCCAATTCTTCGCCTTCGACTTTCCTGAAGATGATTTTTATTTCAATGAGCGATCCGTCCGGTTCGAGGCGGAAATGTGAGTTGATGTTGTCATATTCTTCCTTCTTTTCAAGTATATTTACCGCATCGAGCAACGATTCGTACTTAACTTTATGTTTCTTTTCCAGCCAATCCTTAATTGTTATTGGGATGGTTCCTTTCGGCTTAACCTAAAGTATTTTCGGGTCATGTTCAATCTGTTCTCGTTTACCGGTAAGATGCATAGTGGGCAAGAATCCTTCCATATGAGCCAGTTTCGTAGACAATGTTGGTGAAAGAAGTGTCCACAGGTGGGTATAAGGTTTGCTGTTTTGTCAAATTCTTCCAGGCAAATGCGGCAGGGGTCGCCTACCTCTTTTTCCCATTCTGTCAATTCAATGCGTGAAAGTGAGTCTAAGAGTGCTTGCAGTTCCTCGCACGTGGCTCCTCCTTCAACGAATTGTTGCAAAGTTCTTGTTCCATCTGGGTTGATTACTTCTAGGCGCCCTATTTTCTTCGGTGGTGTCATTATTTCTTCCAAGAAACATGGCAGTGTTTGTTCCTTCTGCCTTGAATTATGCGGTGATTCTTCGTTTTCAGTTTGTGCTGCTTCCTCTTGGTTCTCGTCCATACTTAACAGGGTAAGTTAAGAGTGTCAGAGTTATCTTTTTCTTATTATTATTTTATTTTGCTATGATTTCCTGGCAAATTGGACAGGTATTTTTGTGGAGAAGCCATTTTAGGATGCAGTGAGTGTGGAAAGTGTGCCCGCACGAGGGGAGGAATGAACAGCACTTGGCCGCGAATTCTTCCATGCAGATGCCGCAAGGGTATTCAAGAGTCTCATGCATGGTGGAATGTCGAAGTGTGTCCTCGCGTCTTTCATATTCGCGAGTCCCAATTTCTTCAATTGTTTTTTGTTTATGTCTACGCTTCCCATTTGGTATGAGGTATCTTCCTTGGCACTGTCCCCGAATACCTTCTATTTCTCCTACCCTTGGCTGTGGTCTCATTTTCAATTGATTCCGTCCTTCAAGGTTAACAGAAGTCGGTGCCTTTTTGAAACTGTTCTTTTCTTCTAAAAGCCCGGACGTCTTTCTGCCTGTTGGGTCTTTCGGTGGTTCCGTTGATGGAGTAGGCCCCGGTGTTTGGGCGTTTTCATTTGTTTCACCCTGATTAATTTTTTACTTTTTCCCAACCATCTAGGGCACTTACATGTGCAGAGGTTCGACAGTTACTAAGTTCCATCAAGTGTTTGATTTGGCTGATTGCCCTCTCGTGGTTTGCAACGATTTTGAAGAGAATCTCTCCATTGTTGTAACCGGTCTTGTCTACCACGTCTTCTTTTTTCCATTTTCCTATTAGATCGATGAACTTACTGTTGCAATTCGGGCAATTCCAGGGTTTTCGAATCTCCTCGCAATTCAGGTTACAACCTAAGCAGCGAAAGCTAGCCATCTGAAATCGGGTTCAGGTTAAGATCGGTAACTCTGATTGTTCAAGCAGTCTACTCCCGCCGGGCGGTAATAAAACAGACTATTTTGAGATGCTTCTGAATGGTTTGGGCTGTTGCCAGAATTTGCGCTGTGGAGAAGTTCCATTGCTGTGCTACTTTCCTCGCCGACATTGGTGTTGGCGAAAATTTGTATGCTAAGTACGCGGATGATGCAGCAATTCTTTTCGGGCTCGCTTTGATGTTGGGGTGCCAGGCATGGTCGGCTATTTGTCTTGCCCGAGTGATCCAATCCGAATCAGCGAGATGAGCTTGTTGATCGATGTATTTTCTTGCAATCTCTAGCTCGTTTTTGGTCTCCTTGTTGAATCGTGTCCGTACTAACGGTGCGGTTTTGTAAATCATCCAATTTGGGCATTTCAGCATTTCTCCGATCGCTGTTGTTGTTTTTGGCTCTGGCGAAAATTTGTACGCCAAATAAACTGCGCTGGTCACGATACCTTTTGGGGAAAGCTTTGGGTCAGTTGTCATTACTCGTTTAACGACAAGTTTGGCATAATTGTAGATTTGGTTCGGAAGGAGGTGCTTGTAGGATTTGAGTAGCTCGAGATGAACGGATTCCTCCTTAGGGAAGATTAGCTCTTATCATTTTGTTTATTTACCTTTATTTCCGGCTCGGTTTTTTGGAGCTAGGTTCGAATCTCTTGGGGAGCTCATTTTCAATCTTGAAAGAAATCTTATTAATTCCGGTTTTCAGTGATAATTCCTTATAATCGATTGGTGTTTTCAGATGTGGTTGTTGGGTATGGTTGTAGGAGGGGGATGGTTAGCCCGGAAATACATATGGTTCAGGGTTATTGAAAGGCAGGTGGGAAGACTGTTTCGAAGAATTTGTCTACGTTTCCGTCTCCGATGAGATTCTCCGTTGGCATCTGGATTGGTTGTTCCCTTGTTGTCGGCTGGATTTGAGTGGTGTGTTGCCCGGGGAAAATTTGTGTTGTCTGAGTTGTTGGTCCCGGAATTGCTACAGACGGATCCATTCGGGCGATTTTCTAGATTGTTTAATTTCGGGACACATCTTGCAAGCTTACCTTCGGTGGCTCCGCGCCTACGCCCTGTCTGGGTAGTTTCTGTCGTCTCATCATGAGATTGAAGTACAGGTGTGCGAATATTGTTTTAGGGCTCCAGTAAGCCGGTGTTTGTACGTTTGCCAATCGAGGAAACACGACTTGCACTATTTTTCGATAGCCTTCCTCGTGAAGAGGTGAGTGACCGTGGCTTTTCATAAAGCCTATCGCGGTTCCCATTAGAAGTCCTCCTTGTTCTGCAGGCAGGTCTCGACCCTCGGACAATTCTTCGAGGGTTTGCTTCACTGCCTCTATCATAGCGTCGATCCCAATTTTGCTACCGAGGAATTTGTCTTGAGTTCCTCCGCATCCTTCCCCGAATGCTCTACCACGGTCAAGTCCCTTCGCGGCGAGCTCCTCTTTGGGCATTGCAGTTGGTTGATTCATGACAAGGGAGAGGATGTAATTTCCTCCGGTTTGCTTCATTCTTAAATTACTTTTTGTCAGCAAATGCTTTCTAAAAGACGTTGACTTGTTTAAGACGGAAGGAAATGAGTTCGGGGAAGTATTATCCAGCTTTTCTCTTATCGCTGGGAAAGTGTCAGACATGCAGGTTTAACAGGTTTTTTCGGGTATCTTCCAGTGATTCTTCATTTTTTATTTTTGTGTACGCCTCTTCGATGATTGCCGGAATCGATTCTATTCCCGTGTTTACGTCGCGAGCGAATTCCTTGGCGACCGCTGGTTCTTGAACATTGATGCTCCCAATTTCTTTGATGATCGCGCGATCAAAACCTTCTTTTTTGCCAAGGGCTTTTCAACTTTCTTTGCATAGTTCGGAATGCGATCAGCAGTGCGAGGTCCTTGGTGGAAGACAAAGTTGTTGTCGCTAGTCGTTGTCTCGGCAGTTTCGCTATTGTTGCTTGTTCCTGCCAAGTTTGGGATCTTAGCCATAGTTCGGCTTTCTGGTTTACCAAATGAACGGCGTCTCTCAGGGGACGCTGCCATTCTTCTTCAGCATTGAAACCAATCAACTTCGGTTTCCCCAGGATTTCTCGTACGATAATTTCTTGGAAGGAGGAAAGCTTGATCGCGTCTTCCGCTGTTCCAATGATAATATTGTCAATTTTTGCCTGTTCCATTTGTTCTTAAAAGAAGGAACAATTACTCAATTTGCTCTTTAGCTTCTTATAATTCGTGGTTAGAAGAAACGCAGTGGGACTGTTTGGTTGCAGTACGGACAGCGCGAGCAGCGTGGTTGGTTTAACCACTTGCGAATACAACCTTGATGAAAAACATGATTACAACGTAGGCAAGCAAGGTTGTTGAAGAGTCCTTCCTGGCATATTGCGCAGATGTCCACTTCCTTTTGGCGTTGCTTGTCCACGGGAAAGTCCTTACCGCCTTCCTTTTCGGTTCTTAGCTTCTCTTTGGGCGAGGAGGGCGTCGGAATGCGGAATCGCATCATCTTAAATACGTGATTCATTAAGCCGCTCTATTTTTTCTGTTTGCTCTTTACCAGGTCGGTGTTTAAGGACTTAAGCTTCTCCCAGTGCCTTTTCTCTATCGTCAGAGTCCACTTGATTTGTCCCAGGGTGGTCCAGTTTGTATTTGAATCTCGTGTGCTGGCTCGATCATTGATTATTTCGATGAAATCGCTATTGCAATTTCTACAGCCGTCTTCGAAATTTATGGACGCCCATTGAGTGTTGCAATAAGCGCATCTGTACCGCATCTGAAGGGAGCCTGTTACCTATTCACGTCTTTTATTAAAGGAAATTGTTGAAGCTAGGAGACAGTTCAAAGGCTGGGTGCATTGTGTTCAGATACGGTGCTTCGGATAAGGTCTCTGGTGACTTGAGTGTCGTCGGGGACAGGATTCGTTGAAGGTTTACTAGGAGCTGACTCAGGTACGTCATGTTCGTGTAATTGTTAAGAATGGCTTTGTTTGTTTTGTCTGCTTTTTCGGGGTCGTGTCGTAAGATTTCATCTGCTTGTAACAGGTTACTTAGGTCATGTAAGGGGCTTGACCACTGGATAAGATCGCTTCCAAGTTTTGTTAGCAGACAGCCGATCTGTCGATGTGTTGCTTGCTCTGCTTGAACCTCGCTTTCTTCCTCGAGTTTTCGTTTTTGAGGTGGCTGGTTTCTCAACGTGTTTCTAAGGGATGATTCGAAATTTTGTCTTTGGATGGAGGCGGCATCGATGATTTTGGGATCTGCCTAGTTTGTTGCGCGGGAGTAGTATTTGGGCCGAGTTCCCCAGGCCAAGTGGCGTGGATTGTTTCTCCAGGTTTCAGACCTTTTAATTCTTCCTTTCGTTTGACTTCGGACCCTTTGTGAAAAATCTTGATTTTATTTCGCAACTCTTCTCCGGGCTTAGCGGGGCATGCTTCAAAAATCGCATTCCTCAGATTTTCCATCGGATCGTCACTCGTTGCGGGACATATCTTCCTGTTGCCACATGGATACTCAATGTGTAGCCGCGGATAGTGCCGGTTTTGCTTTTCGTTTTCCCGACTTGCTTGCTGAGTGGTGTTTCCTTCTTCCATCTAAAGGAAGTTCGTTTATTTTCTTACACATTCATTGGTTTTTCGTTGTCCGAGCAGTTCCATAAGGGTAAACAGGATTTAATAAACTCATTCTGTCTTTTTTCTTGACTATTTTTAAAGTACTTGAAGAGAGCATGCACGCACATCCAGCCGACGATTCCAAGCAAAATGTATATGATTGAAAATAGGATTTTGCTTATCGTGTCCGCTAGATAGACGGTCCCCGGTAAATCAAGTTTTTCTACGGCTTCGGAACATTCGGTTGAGGGACAATTCGTTGGTTTGCAAGTATTTGGGGCCATTCTAAACGGAAGTTAGTGCTATCAATCTACTCAAATAAAGACTTGAGGTTAACTCTACTTGGGGTTTTTATGATTCATATTTCTGAGGTTAAGCGCAGCAAGCACGTTTTACGTGCAATATTTATCTCTTCTTTTTCCGGAAGTCGTTGGCGCTCGGTAAATGCTATGTAAGGAGGATTTCCGAATTTTTCAACAAAATCTCCGTATACTGCGTTTTGCCATTCGTTTAACACCCCTCTGTCAGTAGTCGTGGAGTGCAGTGCGGATCCATAGAGTATAAGCTCGTAAGTCCAGTCGAAAAGTCCTTGCCTAGAATTATCATGAGCAAAGTCCTTAAGTGTGCTTTTTATTTCCTGAGGAACTCGGGTCCACGTTGCAACGGTGGTTTTTAACCATTGTTGGTAAGTTTTTGCGTCCTCGGTTGCTTCTTTTATGGCTTCCCGGAATCCAGTCCATCCGATTTTCTCAACGAGTTCCTTTTCGTCAAAATGGCTTGTGTCATTGTCCATGATGGTCCAAACGATCATCTCTTCGAATTCGTCGCAAGCATTGTTGCTTACTGTTTGTGTAGATCTTGCCGACATTTTGTTGAAATAGTGGCTTGTCTTAAGCACAACTGGTTATTTCTTGGGTTCGGATCTACCTTAGAGATGGGTTACTCTTTCGAGATTATTCCTAACAGTACAAGTTTTATCGTTTCTTATAGCAGAATTGTGTTTAGAGCCTGTCGTTGCTGCCGTTTGTGTCCAATCAGCAATATTTTGGGTGTCGAGGATAATTCTCGATGCCGTTTCGGAAGGCTGATACTTTTCTTCTCGTCGGTTCGTGTATACTTTGACTACAAGTGTGATGATTGTTCCTATCATAATAGATGTAAGATACGGCCATGCACTTGTTTCTTTGATTTTGTTCCGCGTCATTTCCCAAGCCATATCCCATCTTATGGTGTGTTTGACGGGGCAGATCGGTTCGGGACAGGGGTTTTGCACGCCGAATTTTTCCGCCCATAGGTCTTAAGGAATCGATTGGCTATGGGCTGAGTGCGATATAATATTTTTCTGTGACTAGCTAGGCTAGTTTCCAGACAGGTTAGTTTTGTTTGGGTTTAGTTAGCAGTCTCAATCCGAATTTGATGGCATGCAGAACGATAAGGATGTGAAATGTTGTTTCTCTCGCCATCTTCAGGTATTCCGACGCCCGTTCAAGGTATCTCTTGGCAAGGCTCATCGAGGTCATTTTTCTGAAGTAGGTTTCCGTGAGCGTCGATGGGTAGTTGATTTTCCCCTCCCCTGGGGGTTGGTTTGGATGAGGTTTCAGTTTTGTTTTTCCTTGGACAGAGATTTAAGTCCAAAGTCGATAGCGTACAGGGCAAATAAGATAATAACCACGATAGTATTTAGATCCCTTGAGTACTCATAGGCCCCGTAGACGTATTCCCGAATCTCTTCCATGGATGTCATTGGTCTAAACTATTTGTTTATCATCTTTCACGATTTGTCTGTCAGTCCATCTGATGTTGTGATACAATATATCTTGTGATTTCTCGTATGGGCACGTAAACAACCTGCCATCCTACTGCTACTGTTTGAAGGCAGGCTTTATGAAATTGTACAGTAGCACAGAGTGAAAAGCAATCTCCAAGACTACGCTTGTCTTCTTTCCTATTTTGCCGGTCGCTTGTTCGATACTTTCGAGAAGTGGCTTCCTCTCGATCTTTGTAGTGCTTTCAGTTTTTTCAAAGAGCTTTTCCCAAGATATCTGAGGAGGCTGTCGGAAGCCACGCCGTATTTGGTCGCTGATGACTCGGCTTGTCTGTTTGCGTAAACTTTTGATATTTCGTTGGTCACGCTGATATAATGGCGTGCTGCTCTTATAATGATTTTCCAGTTCGTCGATGTATCTCATCGCGGTTGCCCATCTGTCGATGTTTTTGTGCCAGTGTGGTACTAGGTCGCTTCCTTCAAGGTACTCAAGGATATCCAAATGTAGGATCCTTCCTTTTTGTGCGCAGCGGTTGTTGCAGTCATTTGTCGAATCCTTTTGACAATGGTTTGTTCCTTTGCCTCTTTTGCTGTCTGGAGCTTTTTCCATAGAGCGTCGTAGATTTTCCTTTTAGTCGCTTCCGATGGTGGTGATTTTTGGATTATTCGGTTAACGATTTCCCGAATCATCCGGTCGGTTTCTGTGACTGTTTTTCTGCTTGCACGAAGAAATCCAATTTCTGGATCATTAAGCCTTGTTTGCTCAAGAAGGGATCTTCCTAAAGTGAGTTCATTATTTCGCCATCATTTCCGCCCATGTTATAGAACGTCTACACAAGGGGCAGTTTTCCATTTGGGTCAGGAACCAGTAATCGATACAGCCCTGACAGTAGCTATGCGTGCAACAGAGAATTTTTGGCACAATTTTATTGTCGAGACATATTGGGCATATGTCTAGATGAATTCTATTTGCTGGCATTCTTGGGATACCTGCACGTCTTCCTGTCGTTGGTTGCTTGGGTTTAAGCAGAAGTTCCGCTTTGCAAAAGGTTTTCTCTTCGTTTCTTCCGGCCGCGGAGTCTGCTGAAGATGCGACTGGTTATAAGTCCCGCGACGAAAGAAAATAGGAATGAAATAAAATTTCCTATAAGTGAGCTACCTCCTACCTCGAAGCTAGTGGAGGATTTCTCCTTAGTTGTACTGTTGAGTCCCGCGTCTGCTTTGCTCACGCAGTTCATTTTTACTCCGATTTCTGGTGGATCGGGGCATTTGGGTATCGTTATTGATGGGCAGATTTTCATTATTTCGTTATTAGTTGATGTCATCAGTCTAAATATAATTCCTGATTATATCACCTTATGACTAAGGGTTTAATCGCAGATTTCCAGTGAAAAATTTAGAACTGACAGATTTCGCAAGAAAATCTCTTTCCCGTCGACTTCTGAGGATTCGTCTGCTTCGAATTGTGGTACCTTCTTATTTTTGAGGAGGCTCTTGTCTCCCTGTTGGCCGGTACCCTCAGAAGAATTTCTTGTAGAAGTTTTTATCGCGTCCCTTTGTTCTCCGCGGCCTCGCTTGCTCAGTCGTGTCATATTTTCCGTTTTCGTTTCCAAGCGGGTTTGTCGCCGTGTTCTCGGTTTTGCTGCTATTGGGAAGCTCTTCTACTGGTTGCACGCTCCTTGTTTTGCTTGACTTATTCTCCTCTAGGCAACAATCATGATTGGATATTTATTCTCGACTGATTACCGTATATACGTGTTTTCCGGTGGTGCTTCCTCAAGAGGCCTGCCCAATCGCCGTATACGGGAGCGATGGACTAGGAAGCGCCGCCTAGGAGATTCGACGGGAGTAACTAAATAAGTATTATGATCAAGTCGTTTTCTCACGACGAAGCCATCCTTCCAGGCGTTAAATAATTTGGAGCTCACTCCTGGAGGCTTCATTTTCAGAAGGACGGGGGTCCCCTTTTCAAGTCCATCGGGTTGATTTTCGTCCGGTAGTTCCATGAGAGGCACAGCTTGTCTCGCTGTTAACAGTGATAAGGCTGCGCACATTCGGGAACTTGACTCTTTGACCCAGAGTCTGACGTTCCGAGGAGCTCTTCTCCGTTGATTTGTCTTGAGAAAAGTGGCTCGGCGAGCAGCCATCCGTGCATTGCTTGGAAGGGACTCGTTCCGAGTGCCGAGTGGTAAGTTAAATTCATCGATAACTGTATAGATGGAATGTAAGTGTCCCATCGGTGTTCGTCGATGTCGAGCGATTTTAGGTGTTTAAGAATCTCGCGATTTGCTCGTTCAATGAGTCCTTGTCCTTGTGGTCGGTAAGGGGTGCCATGGTTGACTGCTGTGCCGAACGATGTTAATAGTTCTGTTAAGAGCACGTTGTTAAATTCTCGACCGAAATCACAAGATACGGCCCTTGGGGGCCTCTTAGAAAAAATATATCGAGAAGGGCTTTTGCAACGTGCTCGGCTGTCTTGTCGACTATGCACCTCAACTCAATCCAACGAGTGAGATTGTCTACGGCCGCGAGGATATACTTCTTTCTAGTTGGACTTGTCGGTAAAGGACCCAAAAGGTCGATGGTTACGGTCATGTTCGGATGCATCTCTTTTGGCGCCGTCACTTGTCGATGCTTTGGGTTCTCGGTCGTTCCGGTTGCGAGGCACGCTGGGCACGTTTGTACCTTGGTTTTTATCTTCTTTGCCATTTTTGGGAAGATGATATCCGCGTCCCTCATCGCGTGGACCAGGTTGGTTGTTCTTCCGTGGTGTGGGAGGTGAAAGCTTAATATAATCCTGTCTTGGAGTTCTTGCGGGATTGGAATCCGGGGTTTATCCTTGTGATCATAAACAAGTATTCCATCGCTTCGCTCCTTGAGTCTATATTTGGCTTTCAGCGGTTTCCATCCATTACGAAAATTGACCAAGTCTCCATCGTTGTCCTGGGCCAAGCGAAGCTCAGACTTCGTGATTCCTTTAAGTTTTATCCAGGTCGGGATTGGTCGGTTCAGCATCCTATACTTCTTCTGAATTTCCGAGTCGATGTGCATTACCAAGTTTGGGGGATCAATCCGGGAAAGACAGTCAGCGACACTCATTTCGAGGCTTGTCCCTTCGCAGTGAGTGATGCTAAAATCGTATTCTGTTAATTTTTCCAGCCAGCGGAGTTTCTTGGCAGATGGTCTTCTGGTTTGCTTGCCATTTGTTTCCGCGCAAATGAAAGACAGGCATTTACTGTCCGTCCGCCATCGGAATGATCTCCCATAAACGAAGTGATGGAATGTTTCAAGAGTTTTAATGAAAGCATAAAGTTCCTTTTCGTTTATGGCCCACCGCACTTGAGGACCTCGAAAGAATCCGCTAGTGTAGCCCAAGGGCTGTTCTTCCTCATCTCCTATTTTCTGACTTATCATTCCGCCGAAACCCGTTTCACTGGCGTCTGATGTGACTAACAAGACAGCTTTTGGGTCATTCGATGGAAAGGCTAGCCCAGTTTGAGCCACCATAAGCCTTTTGATGAGGTGAAACGCGTCTTCTTGCGAGCTTGTCCAATTGAAGGTTGCTTTTGGCCCGCTGATTTCATGAAGCGGGGCTAGTTTTCGTTGAAGATTAGGAACGAGTGTGCTGTAAAACGAACACATCCCGATAAACCTTCGAAGCGCCTTCTTGTTGGTCGGTACTGGAAACTCTCGTATGGCCGCAAGATTGTCTGTCTTTGGAAAATAGCCGCTTGGTGTTACTTCGTGCCCCAAAAACGTTATCTTCTTTGCTCCAAGGATGCACTTGTCTGGATTCAACAGGAACCCCGCTTTCTTAAGTCTCGCAAGGACGAGGTCGAGTGTCTGGAGGTGCTCTTCTTCGTTTTTCCCACACACGAGGACGTCGTCAAGATAGGCGACCACACGGTTACCCAGATCGTCTCCCAGAGTGGCTTTCATTGCCATTTGGTAGACGCTCGGCGAGATCTTGAGACCCATGGGTAACCGTCTGAACTGGTATTGCGAATTGAGAGCTGAGAACGCAGTAAGCGGCTTGCTTTCTTCTTCCAGCGCCATATGGAAAAAGGCTTGTCTTATATCCACGCAGGAGAAGAAGGCAGACCCCGACAAGCTTTCCAACGTCTCGGCAAGGGACGGAAGGGGCCATTTGCTTTCAGCGAGCCTGTTGTTAAGAGCTCTCATGTCAACGCAGATGCGATAGCCCCCGCTCGCCTTCTTTACCAGTTGGAGTGGCGCGTTGAAGCTACTTCCGGTAGATCTTTCGATGATCCCCGCCTCTTCCATCTTCTTTAGCTCAGCTTTCAACCATTCCACTTGGCTGAAAGGTATTCTTCTTGGCCGAACCCATGCTCCAGGGAGCCTGGGGTCGAGAAGCTGGAGCTTGACTTCCGGTCCTTGATATAGTCCAACGTCTGTCTTTTCTTTCGAGAATGCTTCAGAATGTTGTTTTAGAATTTCCTTCAATCGCTCGATTCCATCTTCGCTAAGCTCTGTTTTCGATGTCATTTTCTCGATGTCTTGGAGAGTGAGTTTCTTCGGTGAGTCTTCATTAGGGTCATCCTGTACCTCGTCAATTCTGGCCAGGAATATCTTAGGGACGGGAGTCGCAGGACCCGGGTACGTGATCATCAACTCAGTTTCCAACTCGCTTGAGTTGATAATCATAGCCACTCCTGGGACTCCGGGCGAAAATTCAGGATCCAATGTAAGGAGAAGTCGCTTTGATGCCTTGTGCACTTTTCGTGGGCCTGTATCAACCCGCAGGAAATTCATTCCCTGTCCCTTTCCGGCTTCGATAACGCGCAGTAGGACGGTGTTTTCCGGGCAGGCAAGCGGGAAAGTCTGCCCATTTATTTTAACGGTCCTTCTCTGCAATTGGATGGTCTTGTTAAGCAAACTGTCCACTCCGAGAATGAGCTCAGCTCTTAGACCCGGGATGATGCTTATGCGAGTTCCAGGGAATCTGATATCAGGATCTCCTCGCAAGATTATATCCAATACAAGGTCGAATGCTATTTCCATTCGCGCCCCTTTCGCTGCCATCGGGTTGCTACGGATAGGCTTCTCCTTATTGAGTGGGAACCCCTGTGCCTCCAGATTTTCGCGAAATCAAGGCTGGCACAGCTGAGGCTCGCGCCGGTATCCAAGAGAGTGAGAATGTTTTTGACCACTACTGGATACCGTCGCTCGGATCGTAATTTTACGTCAGTTCGTACGAGGAGAGTTGTACAGTGATCCGGCCGTCCTCGTCTGACGTTCATAACCTGGGCCTTAGCCCGAGGTTTTTGGCTTAGCAGTTGTTGTCCCGGGCGGAGTCTTTGTCTCTCGCGCCCGCGTCTCTCGTGCTTTGTCTTGTGCTTGTGCCCGCACGAATCGGTCTTTGAGTGGTTTGCTGCATTGGCGCCACATATGGCCTCGCCCATTGCAGTTGAAACATAAGGGTTCACGTGGTCCAGTTCTTCGGGGATAAGGTTCTCGTCCCCGACTGAAGCGCTCTTGTCGGTTCCATGGGGGTCGATTTGCGTTCGGCCGGGTGGCGGGTCCCCTGTTCCATTCATCACTTGTTTTCTCCTTCCAGCTAACCTTGGGTGCTTCGGATATCCCTTTCCCCTTGTTGGACCATGCTTGGTTTTCTTGGGTGTTCGTTCTTTTGTCCCCTTCCATGTTGTAGACAAGCTCTGCGGGAGCGTCATGGAAGTTTGAATCATCCATGATTTGTGCTTGTTTGATCGCCGCTTGAAGCTTATCAAACGTTATTGGTGTGTCAGCCGCCTTCCCGGCTTCCAGTTCTCGGATTAGTTCCGTTTTGGATTTTAGTGGCGTTGTTTTTGATGACTGGGTGAAGCACCATTGCTGCCTCTTGGGACTTAGGGTCTTTTCCCGAGGATGTTTTAAACATGGTGCAAAGCCGTATAAAGAATGCAAGAAGAGATTCCTGAGGCCGTCGCTTGGCGGTCAATACATCGTTCATCATGCTACTCTGACTTCCTGCCAGAAATTTCCCAATTTTTTCCAGAAATAGCTCAAAATTATTCTTCCAGGATTCTTCCAGCAATTCTTCAATGAAGGCGTCTTCGGGGCGGAGGGTTAACATAAAGAGTGACACCATCTGACTGTCTGTTAACCCGCTCTGCTTTGCGTTGTTGAGAGCAATTTTATTCCTTGTAAGGTGCTCCCAATAGGTGATATTCTCTTCCGTCTTCCAATTTTTCAATTGGAATTTCTGTGGGTTTCCAACGAATCGGACCACTCCATCCTTCTTTGGCTTCTTTTTCTCGCTCAGTTTTTCTTTTCTTGTTGTCTCTGTTGAGCTTTCCCTCCGAGAGGGACTGGGATTCTCTTCTCGGCCTCTCTTCTTTTGACGTTGTTCGCTCGTTCTTTTCCTTGCATTTCGCTCCTCTGCTTCTTTCTCTCTTTGTTCGTCCCAATCTTCTTCCTCGGAGTCTGTTTCTGAGGTGTTACTGTCGTGATCTCGCTTACGATTACCAAAAAGATGGTTGGCCTTGTCGAGGATTTCCGATGCGTTATCCATTTTTGCGATCATTTCTTTGTGTATCTCGTCGTATCGGTTAAGCATTTCGCAGTTTGCCTTCCGTTCCTCTTCTATGGCCCCCACCTTACTTAGCGCTTTTGATAGATTCTCGGTCTTCAAGCTATTTTCTAAGCGAAGCCGCTCAATCTGTCGCCTGAGCTCTTTGACTTGTTCAGTCTCTTGCTCGTTCGGTACGTCTGGTTTCGCCTCCAGACCTCCTTCTGTGATACTCTCGCCTTTTCCCGGCTCTCTTTTTACTTGTTGCACAGGTTCAGTTTTTGAAGAACTTGGGATTTGGGTTCCGTGCCGCTGGGCCAGGGAGTCGTCCAAATAGATCAGAGTGTTTGGGCTTTCTCCCAATATCTCCTCTGCAGCTTGTTTCATCTTTGCCCATTGTAATGCGCTGTTAGCGAATTTCTGGGCAAAGATTGACTCCTCGTATGTTGCCAGTAGGAAGCTGCCTTCGATCTTTGCGGTTTTTACCGCCGCAGCGAGTGCCCCGCTGAGATCGGTGCTGGTGACCAGGAGGATAGTTCCTCCTTTGCACAAGTCAGCTTGTTGTTTGGTTGATTTGATAAGTTTTGTCATGGTTGTTTTATGCGTTTGTCTGAACCAAAATAGTTACTCACTTTCTTGAAATTTTCCTTCGATGACCATAATTAAGTCTTTTACGGATTTAAAAAAATACTGTTATAACAATGGCGGACAGTAGGATACAGAGTTTGGTTCGAATTGATGATCGATAAGTACGAAGGGTAAGTATAACACAGATCAATTCTACTACTATCAATTTTGTTAATAAGTGGCATACAGCTGTTGTTTAAGTTAACGTAATTAGTACGTTGCTTGATGCTGTTCCGCATTTCTTCTTTTGAGCATTGCCTAGAAAAACCGGAAGTCTCCCATTGGTGACGTTTTTGCCGCGCATTGGTAGCCATATTGAATGATTGATGGAAGAGTCGGTGTCCAGCCCTGAACATCCAGGTAGAAGCATCGCGCCACTTCGGGTTCGTTGAAAGAGAATCCCCAGATTTCGAGAATCAACCAGTAGTCATAGCTTAAAATTCTTATGGGTTGAATATTATCCGTTCTTTGCTCCTACCCTTGGTCCGCAATCTGTAGCCATCGTTGGATGTTTCGAAAGGCAATGAAGTATACTAAGTCTTCGGTTGACCCTAAGTTTCTGCGGGCTAACTGATGATGGTGCATTCCTGCAATTCGCATTCTTGTTGCCGTTGTTTGCGCCGCAAGCCAATATTCGGAGGCTCGTATTACAGTGTTCACTGCTTCACAGAAGGGGCTGAGCCATTCTTCGTTCACGTCATTGCATCGCTGTTGCGGCTTTTTGAGTATTGCCCGGGCCAGTGTTTCCTTGAAAAGCGACAACTGGATTGGGCTTCTTACTGTTCCGTTAAGGAGGTCTTCTACGCTTGCGAGCCGACTTTCCTTTTGAGACATGGTTTTATTGATTTTCAGTCTAAATTTTCCTTGTTGAATTCAATGCTAAGTTAACGATTTTTCTAGTTTTTAGTTACAGTTCACGTCGAAAATTGGATTTATGTTTGGTCAGAAAATAGTACTTATGACTTTCTCTTTTCACTGCTTCTTTCTTCATGTATGATTGAATTTTGCCCTTGAATTAGTGTTAGTCGTTTCCTAGTGCCTGGTGTTTACCTTCTTATAGAGATGTCTCCTCTTCGGGACGTTCAGGCGCTGCTTTGTTTGCTGGTGAGGACTCCATTGAGTTTGGTTGTTCGAGTACTTGCTCTTGCTCTTCATTCCCATTGATTTCACTGTTGGCTGGCAGAAAATCCTCTTCGGCGATGTCCGATCCACTTTCAGTGCCTTCGTTTCCGCTGTCTTGTTCCCTTTCCTGGTCGGCTTGTCTGGAAGCATCAATGATTGACCCGATTGCTGTAGCTCGTGAGCGGCTAAGAAGGTATAGGGTTGGGGCGAGTTCGAAGTTGAAGGCGCTGTCGTCAAGCCTTGTGTTTGCGATTTCGAGAAGGCAGTTTCTCCATCTCTGATAGATCCGGGGGTCGTGTGATTCTTCTCGAAGACAGAGATAGGTTCCGAGAGTTGCATAGAAGAAAGTCCATGCGACGCACGTGGGGGTTCTATTTGCGTCCTGCGCGTATCGCTTTAGCAATGGTCTGATTCGTTCCGGTCTCGTCTTGAGTTCGTTTATGAGTCCGTCGGTAATGATCTGCAAGTCGGACAGATCGTTGATGAGTTGGTCCAAGAGGGCCTTGAAGCCACTGAGTTCACACAATTCCGGAAATGGCAGCCTATTTGGAGCGATTTGGTCACCGAAGCACACTGGTAAGACGTTCCACACGAAGAAGTGTTTTCTTTCGATTGAGTTCATACTGAAATTGCTTATTATTGCTACTTGGACTTTATAATTTCTTTGTTCTATTTCGGGTGACATTTTTTTGAGATGTTTTGTACAGTCCATGTAATCCTTAATTTTAAATTGTCTTTTTGCTTTCTTCGTTGTTGATTATCCTCGGCTGGCTTGCACTAGAAGGTTTTAGTCATTGGAAAAGGGAGCATGTTTCTTTACTTTTTTGTGATGATGACTCGTCTTCTTAGGCCATTTTTTATTGTACGTCTATTCTTTGCAGCGGCTCCTGCGCGAATTGCTTGCAGCTCCTCCCTGGCGACAATGCATCTTTTCTTTGATATTTCCCTACAGCTTTGGAGGTGAAAATTTGCATATTTCAGCTCTTCAAAGAAGCTTTTGGAGAGAAGATGATTGTCGATGAAGTTTGCGACTAGGCCCAAGGCCTTTTCGTGAGTTTTTTTCTTTCCTTTTGTGCTTGCCAGGGTGAATGTAATTCTCCAATGGAAATCGAGGATGCTTGATGCTGATTCTGCTTTTGGGTGGGTATTAAGGTAGCTTCTTAGATGATCTAAGGCTTCTGCGGGCGTCATTACTGCTTTTTCCGACCGCATTAATTCGGCAAGTATGATTTTCAAAACGCCAATGGCTGACTTTGTTTTTCTTGCTTGGAACACGTTGGCAACTTCGTCTCCTCGCAGGATAGATGGAATAGTCCTGAGGTATTCGCTTTGCGTATCTTTTGTTGGAATTCGGCCGATGCTTTCATTAAAAGTCATGCTGAAGTGGGGTTTTCTGGTAGGGTTATTATAGTTCTACGATATTCGCTATTCACAATTAACTGATTCTTTTAGCAGAGATTATTGTCAAGGGAGCAGGATCTTTTCATAATTTTTGATTCGCGTCGATCAAGAAGGCGCATTGGCGGTGGCATAGCCGGGCTTTCTTTGTCCGTTTCGTTATCGCCTCCAAGATTCAGCTTCGGGAACACTGCATCCAAATCCTCACTTCGACATCGTTTACGTCGCGGGAGTGTCAGGTTCACTTGGTCGGCCAACTTGTTTTGTTGATTGCGTAGCGCTCGTCTGGCTGATTGTTGTTGTGCTTGTCTTGTCAGTCTGTCGTCGATTCGGCGGACCAACGTTCGGCATTCGTCTAGTTGGGCCGCTATTCTGTTGGCGACTTCCTTCTGGGCTGGCGAGTAGTATTTGGTTTCAAGGAACCGGGCTGTTACGACGACAAGGATCAAGGAGATTAGGGCGCAGGTCAATATTGCGATTATTAACCCGATAATGAGGCCACTAACAGTAGTTGCTTCATTCATGTCTAAACTTACTATTTATTGAACACTATTTCTTGGTCGGAGAGCTTTTGCAGCAAATAATTGGCGATTTTCGAATTTTAGTTTTGTGTTCTTTCTTCATCGATGCTTAAATATGGTTTAGCTTCGCTCCGCGTTGCTTTATTTACTTGGTCGGGGTTGAAAAAGACTCCTCCTTTTGTCGTTTGCGGCGAAACAAGAGGATGTGTGGTTCGGGAAGATGTCTCAAATAGTGTTCCCAATTTGTTAGGAGGTTTATTCCAAGTTCCCGCCACTCTTGTACTGTCATAAGGCGCTCAATCGGTATTTTCGGGACCCAAGACTTTGGGACCGTGACGTGGACATACTCGTACGTATTGTCCTGATATCTTTCACTATAACGAATCATCCTGAATGATGTTATTATTATTTCTTTGGTGTGAGCCCAATGGGTTTTGAAGGTTCTTTCCTTCATTTTTTTGTTATGATATTTTCAGTAAAATAGCTTCTTTTGGTTTCTTGTAATAGTTCGATATCTGTTATTTTAAGCCTGAGCAGGTTAATCCTCATGTGGCGTCTCTTTTCAGCGTTTAATTCCTATTTAACTATCTCCTTTCTTTGGTGGCTGGTGATTAAGCTTGGTCCGGATTGAAGACTGAGTCGTCCATTATTTGGGCTACTTTTATCGCGGATTCCAAGCGTGCGTAGGTAATCGCATTTTTGTACTTTCCGTTGACCTCTAGCACTCTGCTAAGCTCAATCTTTTGAGTTCTTGTAGCATTGTTTTTTACTAATGGGTAAAGAAACGCTGCTGTTTGATCGGACTTCAAGCTATGCCTAGAAGAGGCTTCGTATACCAGGGTGAGGCGTTTAAAGAATGTCAGGAGCGACTCTTCTGGCTTTCTTCTTACGTTGAAGATTTCATCTGTCATGACATCCCTTTCCCCCAGATACTTTCCTATCTTTTTCAGGCAACGACCGAAGTCGTGCAAATCCTCCGCTTCAAGCAGTTGTTCGATGTACATATCCTCTTTGCGTAGGGTCAGCATAAATAAAGTAACCAATTGTTTGTCTGAGAGGCCACAGTTTCGGGCAAAGCAAATTGCGTTTGCGTTTCGGCACAAGTGCTCGCAGAATGATATTTTTTCGTCCGATTTCCATGCTCTGAACTGATTTTCGCCGAGGTGTTTATCAATTATTCTTTGGATGTCGTTTCGTCTATTTTCCTTTTCTTTATTTATTATTTTTGTGAATTTGTCCTCTTTTTGCCAGTGTTTTCTCCTTCCGTTGCTGATTTCCCCCAAGTCTGGTTCGTTATCCCTTTTTATAGGGCTTGGCTTGGGTTGATGGCTTTTTGTCAGACTTTGGTTTTGCCTTCGTGTCAGTTTCATCTTTTATTGTTGCTTCAGCGATTTTTTCGTGCTCCTCGTTTCCACTTCTTATTGGTCTAACGACTATCGTGAGGGCTTCAATGATTGTATGAATGATGCGAATAATATTCCCCATGTTGGATTTCGATTCTGAAAGAATGATACTAAGACTGATGACTCTACTTTGACTTGATTAGGAAGGTGCTTGGGTCAGCCCCGTCGTCGGCTAAAGCCTTCCGGTAGCTTTCCCGTGAACAGTAGTGGGCGTATGTTTTGTCCTTCAATTTCAATTTGATGCCGATTTCTTCTAAATCCGGCCCGAGCAACCGCTTCACGCAATAGCCTTCGTTCTATGCGAGATGCTAGGCTTCGCAGGTTAAAATCGACAATTCTTGCTACTTCGCAGTCGTCCAACTTCGCCTTGCTTAATATGTCCCATGTTTTTTCGTTGTCTATGTGTGCTCGGAAAAATTTCGCAGCCTCGCGTTGTGCTTGTTGATTGTATGCTTCTGCAGTTTGGGTTGATCTGATTCTTAAAGCTACATGAAAATGCCAGTGTAGTAGCTCTTCGAGTGTTTTTGGACTTGCTTCGTTTTGCAAAAACTTCTTCAGTTTATTCAATCCCTTTTGCGCGCTCATTTGTTGTAGCGTCGTGCTGTTTATTACTCTTGTTGTAAGCAATGCTATTGAGTCGATATTTCCTTCGAATTTTGAGATGACGTGGTACTGTTTATTTCTGTAGAGTATTTCTGGAATGAGGTCCAAGTATCGATTTCTCAAGCTTTGAAGGGTCTCTTGTTTCATTTTCGTCCTTAAGTTTATGGTAAGTTATGATGGTGATTGCTTTGGAGGCATTCCAATCGTCTCTTTTATTGTCCCAAGTCGAGATTTTTTCAAGGAACTGATCGTTACTCCCGACTTTAGAGTCTGTTATCAGAAGTTTAAATATTTTCCCACTAAGCTCATAACTTTTAATTTTGAAGTCGGTCCCGAGTGTTGAGGTGAAACATTCAGAAAACGTTCCGTCGGCAAATCGGATTAACAGTCTTGATCCATATTCGCTGAAGTTTTCGTTCATGAGTATCCTCAATACGTGGTTGTATCTAGGGTTCATTTAACAGTCTTAACTATTTGTAAAATGTCTCTTTTCCATCGAAAGAGGCGTTTGCGAAAGCATGGAAATCATCTCTTCCGCGCCTTCTAAGAGAGGGTTGCCATCTCTCATTTTTTCGGAATCTGTTTGTCTTATAGATATTCTCTTCAAGCGCAAGTTTTCCCAATCATTTGGCGTCCTATAAGTTATTATGTTTAAAAAAAATAATGCAATTAGATGAAAAGAGACGATTTTAATGATTTATCGTCTCGTCTGGAACAAAGAGATCATATTTGAGCTCAACTTTTATCTAGTTTGAGTTTAAGAATTCTAAAAAGATGTCCTTACGTT